AGGACCGAGACTACGCAATGGCATTAGCACTCCAGGAAGAGGAAGAAGGAAACCACAACCGACCCGCGTTGCCCCAGCGCCCATCACAGGGCTCGTCCGGCTGGGGAAACAGCGGACCGCCACCGCAGCCGTCTCATCCAATGTCCCCTGAAGACGAAGACCGCGCGCTCGCCATGCGCCTGCAGCACGAGGAAGAGCACGGCGGCCCGGCCCCGCCGCTGCCCGCGCGGCCGCACCCGGACGCCGTGGCAGCCATGCTCAAGCAGCAGCAGGAACCAGCGCCGTTCACCAGGACCCCGTCCACAGAGGGCTTCATTGCGCCGCCGCGGCGCCAGGGCTCCGACTTTGGCGCCGACGACCCCAATAACCCGGTACACTACTCGCGCGACCCGCACAAGCTGATCGCGTACCTGGTGCCGTTCCCGAAGCCGTGGCTGGGTGGGCGAGGGCCCGCGCCGCCGGACAAGGGCGGCATGCCGACGCGGTTCCTGGTGTACACGCCGCCGCCGCCGCCGCTGCAGGCGCCGCCTGAGGGCGTGAAGGAGGGCGTCTCGCACAAGGTGCAGCGCAAGTGGCAGGCGGAGGTGCGGCAGGCGAAGCAGAGCGACGCCAAGACGACGAGCTGGGCGGGGTTCAAGGCCAAGTGCACGAGGGGGGTGGACAAGGCGATGCAGTATACCACGACGAGTAATCTTGACTTCCTCGCGCGCGTGACGCCACCGCCGGCGCCGGCTTCGTCGTCGTCGACGTCGAATCTTGCGCGCAAGCTCTCGCTAAAGGGCAAGGGGCGGAGGAACAAGTCGAAGGAGGGCAAGGATGGAGACGTTAAGGGGAAGGACAGTGTGGATGTTGATGAGATAGCTGAGGAGAGTGGCAAGCCCGCTGACGAGACGACGAGGGCTGCTGACGAGAAGGCGAAGGAGGCTGGCGTGTATGACAAGGCCAGGGAGGCTGGGTCAGAGGAGAAGGCGAGGGAGGAGAATCCCTTCGAGGAGAAATTCAGCGAGGAGAAGGTGCGCGATGAGAAAGCCGGCGGCAAATTCTCCGAGGACATCAAGGAGGAGGAAGTGCAGGACGACGACCCGGCGCACGGCTCCCACGAGACCAAGAAGACGGTCGGCGTGGAGGAGATCGTCTTCGTCTACCCGCCGTCGATGAACATGACGCCGGAGCAGATGCGGGAGGAGTTCGTCAACACGATGCTGCGGACGAAGTCCAAGGCGCAGCGGGACGCCATCATCGCGACGGGCCTGCTCCCCGTCTCGTTGGCGATCGACCTCGTCATGATTGCCATCAGCGGACTGTTTGAGGTCAATGGTCAGTATTTCTTGTCACTATTGGTAATCTGTCCGTCCATGCTAACGTGTGCGACAGCTGTGTGGGCGTATTTCACCATCAAGGGCACCAAGACCGCCCGCTCCGTGACGAAGCGCATCGCGTCGACGTCCCAGGATCCCGAGACAATCGACCCTGAAAAGTCCGAAAAGGAGCTGGAGAAGGAGAACAAGCTCAAGATCACCTTCAAGCCCGCACACCGCATCGACGTGCTCTCCAGCTACCTGTACGCCGAGTGCCACCGCGTCGACTCGCGGTTGTTCCCTCGGTACAGCCACGCACCGACTGAAGTGTGAGTTTCCCTCCCCCGTGATCCGTCTCTGATATGCAAACACATGCTGACATTGATAAAAACAGTGAGTGCTTGGAGGCCATCGGCTGGTCACCGTCGCGGACCGGCGGGCAGAAGAACTGGGAGGACGAGGCGTGGGAGGTCAACGACGTCAAGGACGACTTGAAGGTGGTGATGCACAAGGGCGCAAAGGAGTGGCGGAAGTGGTGCAACAGGTACGAGAAGGACCCGGAGAAGAGCTTGAAGAAGTAGTAGACGCCTTTTACGTTCTTTGGTGAATATATTTCAAATGCATATCTCCTGAATACTTCATAACTCTGTGCCGCCTACCCATTAGTTTAACGAATGCCCCCAAAGCCCTTGTAAAATCTCAGCGGCCATTGCAAGACTTGGGACAGCTGTCGGCTACGTGATGTCCGTACCCCTGAAGTTGTCATCCGGAAAGGCGCGCGTTGATCTAGAAGATTCCGTCAGACAGGCCGCTCGGCCCCATCTTTCCCTCCAGGCAACCACGAAGATTGTCAGCCTGCATCGCCTCGACTTAACATCAAGACAAGAGAGTAATTATTCAACAAGGACGCAACGGCTGGGTAGCTCAGGTGGTAGAGCGGCGCACTATTCCATATCTTCCAGGCGCAGGTCGCGTGTTCGACTCATGCCCCAGTCGTGATCTCACTTTTTACATCGTTTTGGAGTGTTGTTGGGGCATGTTGCGACGGCCATGGCTTGTTGTGAGGTCCCACTGCGAATGAACACAACTTCAACATCAAATTGAGAGGTACAGACTCTCCGTCGAAAAGCTGCTGTCTTATTATACATCAATCAACTGCATACTCTCTGTGAGACAGATAGCTGAAGCTATTCTTGTTAATATCAGCTGTGTTGTTCTATCTCCTATGTTCTGCCTTTAGTTCCTGTCTTCTGCTCTATCGCTTTCGTCTCCGTCATCCTCGTCTTTCTTTTCGTCTCCGTTCTTGCCAATACCCGTATCCATCCTCAGTCATCTACATACACTGCCATCACTGGGCTGCTTGACCTCATTACTGAGGTAGTGTTCTCACCTAAACTCCTCCCACAGCTTGGCTGACGACGTCATCACATGATTTATCGACATGTGGGAAATCAGACTACCAAAGGTGCCAGGCATCGTACGGAGCACCCATCCGATTCGGACCGGCTCCGTGCCATGGTGCCCCCTCCCCCGGAGACGGGTTGCTCGGCAAGCCAGTGGACTGGTTGACTGGGAATTGTCCCGCTGCCCGCTTTCATTTCCTTTTGTTTGTCTTCTCCACCGCCTCCGCACTCTGCGATGCGGGGTAGCCCGGCTCCCGAGCTCTCCACTCGTTCAAGCGGTCCAATGCCGTCACCAGGCTTCTCCAACAAACCTTCCCCGCGACAAGGGCCACCCTGCTCTCACGGCCCCAAAACCTTGCTCGCCCACAGCTCCGGCAAAAACCAACCCCATCCACCGGCGCGGTACGCAGCCAAACCAACCCTCATGACCAGACAGGTTCGAGAGAGTATGACGATGCTAATTCCCGCTGGAAGGGGCAGAAAGCAGCATATGCGGGGACTGCGGAGCCGACCCAGCCAACTAGACTGACCGACCAACCCTTTGCTCTCCACGAATACGGACGTCTCGCCGGCCAATCCACCGAGGACAGGAAATGGCAGCGGCTCATGAAGGTGCCGCCGCGGGCAATGGCCTTAAAAAGGACGCCGGCGTCCTTTTCGCCCTCCCTCGACGCAACGTTCGTCGTTCCATTGCAGCTTCTACACGTGGTCGTTGGCGCAACTTTGTTTCCATAATGAAGGTGACGGCCCTTGCGATCGCCGCCGCGACCCTCGTGTCGTCGGCGTGCGGCCAGTACATGAAGACCCCCGTCATGGGGCGGTACACTGCCCAGAGGCAGTCCGTTAGACAGGCGACCAATGACTCCAGCAACGCGTGGCCATATGGCCCCTTCAGCACCCAAGGCCGCGACATCGTCAACAGCCGTGGCGAGGTCATCACGTGGGCCGGTGTCAACTGGCCCATGAGCGGCGAGACCATGGTCCCCGAGGGCCTGGAATGGTCCTCGGTTGACAAGATCCTGGACAGCGTCGCCAGCATTGGCTTCAACTACATCCGAATGTAAGTCCTCGCTACATGTTTCCTTCACCCTGGTCGCGCTCCTAACCCACCATTCGCTAGGGGCTACGCCATTGAGATGGTGGATCAAATCTACGACCGCGAAGGCGAAGACGTCCCGCTAGAGGTCGCCATGATCAACGCCCTCGGCTACGTCAACGGCACCAAGGTCACCAACGAGATCATCAAGCAGAACCCGACCTGGACGCGCGAGACCACCCGCTTCGAGATCTGGTCCGACATCGCCAAGGCCGCCCTCGACCGCGGCATCTTCATCTCCCCGGACGTCCACGTCAGCAAGGCCATGTGGTGCTGCTCCCACACCGACGGCAACGGCTGGTTCGACGACGTCCACTTCAACACCACCCACTGGCGCCGCGGCCTCTCCTACGTCGCAAACTGGGCCCGCGACCACCCCAACATCGTCTCCATGTCCCTGCGCAACGAGGTCCGCGAGTCCTGGAACAGGACAGACCTGTACTACAACTGGGACACCCTCGTCGGCAACTTCTCCGCCGGCGCCGACGCCATCCACGAGGCCAACCCGGACGTGCTCATCCTCTGGGGCGGCATGCAGTACGGCCAGGACCTCTCCGCGCTCACGAGCGGCAAGAACTACCTCACCGCGCCGTGCTACAAGTGCACCGCCATCCGCGACGCCGCGCGCCGCGAGCCCAAGGTCTTCGACGTCGACGCGCACGCCTGGGCGGATAAGCTCGTCTGGGAGCTGCACCTGTACAAGATGAGCGAGGACGTCGACACGGGCACCTGCCCCATTATCGAGGCCGGATTTTACCGCTCCGGGTTCAACGCGCTGGGGATCGACAAGCCGGCCGCGTGCAATGTTACGGGCGACTGCCCGAAGGCGAGCCGCCTGACGCCCGTCATCCTCTCCGAATTCGGCAACGCGCAGGACGACACGATGCGTAACGATACTTTGCAGGTCTGCCTGCGCAAGTTCACCGTCAAGAACAAGATCAGCTGGATGATGTGGGGGCTGGCGGGCAGCTACCGTATTCGTTCCGGCGCGCAGGGTGTCTTCGATGGCTGGGCGCTGGGTAACTACGAGTGGAACGGGTGGAATGACCCGGGCACCATTGAGGATGTCTGGAAGCCGTGGGTGAAGAACATGAATGTCACGACGAAGGCTTAAACGGAGAGCACCAATGTGGCTGTTGATATAATGATAGTTAATTGAGATAATTCGTATTTCACATCCTCTGTTGCATCTTATGGTTCAACTCAGACCCGGCAAAGCCGTCCTTCATCCACAACCTCCCATCCCTCGTTACCGACGCACGGCTCGCACCAGAACACATCGTCCGGGTCGACGGTCTTCTTGATACCGATTAGTCGCTCATAGTTGGCACCCCAGTAGGCCTGCTGCCAGTCCTTTTCATACACAGAGCCCTGTATCCTAATAAGCAATCATTCTCCGGCTTCAATGCGGATCACTCACCTCGTTGATATAAGACCCCATATCAGGAGCCAACCGCCGCAACCCCTCCGCCGCCGCATCAACAAGCTCAATCGCCTCCCGTTTCGCCGTGGCATTCATGGCAGGGAACTGAGCCGTCGTCACTGTGCACACATCATTAGTCTTCACCACATCCCACCTACTACAAATGCAAACTCACTTGCGTGTACATATGCCCTCCTCCAAGCCGGATGCACCGCATTCCCGCCCCCTCGCGGCACCGCCTCGTGCACCCCCCTCCCCGACACCAAAAACGCCGTTACGCGGCCCACCCTCTCCGTGGCCGTCCCGACCGCCGCCGCCAGCGCGTCCACGTCCTCAGTCAGAGCCGCCTCGTCGAGCAGCCGCGACGCGAAGATGAGATGGTACCCCACGGGCCGCGCGTCGCGGTACTTGTCGAACCAGTCAAACCACGACGCGAACTGCTCCGTCTGCAGCACGAACACGGCCTCGGGCCAGCGCGCGGCGATGGTTGCGTTGATGGGCTGCCAGAGCTCCTGCATCGCTTCTGAGTTGGACTGGTCCTGCAGCAGGGCGACGCCCATCATGCCTGCGATCTGCGTCGGCAGGCTTTGTACCGGGAAGGGGTTGTCCATGAGCACGCGCGAGGAGGTGCAATACATGGACATGCCGGCGCGTTCGAGTGCGGGCATCTGGGAGAGGACGTATGCGGTAAGGGCGGGGAGGTAAGGTGCGTCAGGCTCGGTTCTGATGGCCCAGAAGGTGTGAGTGATCGCAGGCGAGGCGTGCGTTAAGAAGGTGATGGATGTGATGACACCAAAGGTGCCGGGGCCGCCCTGCTCGAGTTAACATCGGGAAGTCATGTAAATGTCAAATCATGTCCGTTCTTACACCGCGCATGGCCCAGAACAAATCCGTGTTCTGCGCCTCGTTGATCGTCATGATCTCGCCCTTGGGTGAGACGATCTCCATCTGCAGGACGTTATCCGCCGCCATGCCGTACCGCGGGCCCAGCAGCGAGTGGCCGCCTCCGGGGGTGAACCCGCCGACTCCCACCGTCCCGCACCCGCCGCCAACGATGGCCTGCCCGTGCTCGGCCAGGGCTTTCTGCGCGTTGTACAGCTCGGTGCCGCCCCCGACGGTGACGGCGTTCCCCTCGATAGCGATGTCGCTCCCGGCAAGTTGGAACCCAGCGCCGTGGTACTGCACATCTTGCATATGGTGCACCCAGATGGACTGAGACCCCTGGGCAAAAGAGCGGCCGAGGTAATCGTGCCCCGTACTCTTGACGATCAACCTCACATTATTCTCCCGCGCTATACTCGTTAGTTAACCAGTCCATCACCACGAGAAGAGGGGTATAAAACGCACCAAAGTCGACACCAAACTTGACATGCTCCGGCGTGGTCGCGTTCACGACGAACGCAGAGTATCCGTCAGCGCGACACAGATAAGCCGCGTCAGGGAGGCAGGTGTCATTACTCCAGTTGTCCCACATGACGGAGACGGGGTCGGCCTTGTGGAAGTCAAACTTGCTCCATCCGGCCTGCGCGGCGGCGCACCGGCCGGCGTCGTAGGACGGTTCTCCGGGATGGCAGACAGCTCCTGGAGCAGCCGGCTGCAGCAGTCGGCCTCCAAGAGACTCATTGAGCGCGGCCCAGGATTCTGTGGACGGCCAGTCAGCGCTGCCTGGGAAGGACTTGCATGGGGTCGTGGTGTCTGCCGAACTCCATGGCAGGGATGCTAGGGCTAGAGCGAGGGATGGAAGGAAAGTGGAGGATAGCATTATGGGAGGATAATGATGGGGCTTACCGGAGTTGAGAACACGAATATCCAGACGAAGGAGTCTCCCCTTTTTAAGTCGGGGGCTTTGAGATCCCAAGACGAGGAGGACAGGCCGGGCGACTTCGCCCGTGTTCAGCTGCCAGGTGCGGCGTGGTTGAGATGCAGCAGCGAGATGAGGCAAGGCACCAGATTTCTCGGAAAGGAGATCGTCAGCAGGAGAAATGCTACGTTGTGTTGGTTACGCCGCAGCGTGTTGGTGATCCCCTGCTCGGGCGTCCTGGACCCCAGTTCAAGACCGAGGAGTGGATCACGTTCGGTGTCGAGGTGTAAGGCGCAGCCTCGTCGCGCTGCTCGAAAGAAATGTTGGATCTGTTCTTGTGAGAAAACCTGTGTCGCCGGACAAGAAAAATAAGGCTCTCGGCCGTCAGCCGCTGACGGAGCGGTGTTTCCCATCAGGTACGTATGCGGGTGTCATTTGGGGGCACGTTGGGTAGGCCAACGGGGACAGGCCCGGCCAACTGCATACGGACGTCAAGGGATAATGTACCCAATCACAAACCCTTCGCTCTCGGCATGGTCTAAGACAGAATACTTGACATGACCGTTAAGTGCCACTTGTCTGTCAATCAAACAGCCTGGCCGTCCGGTCCTCAGCCGCCAATCTCTCCAAGTGACCCTCCCGAAAATGCGCATACCATCCAAGAAATTCGGGAATGCTCTCAAATACACATCCCCCTCTCACACAGATTCACGACGTACCGCCATTTCCATCCATCCTCGTCCGGCTTACGGCAGTACACCACGCAGCACGAGGCGTCCTGTCCGTCCCCCGAGTTCCACCCGCCTCCCATCGTCCAGCCTCGAGGATCCCAGCCGTTCAAGCCCGTTTCGTCTTCCAGTTCCTCCGGTGTCTTGACCCGGCTCGTTTCCCTTGTCAGAGACCAAAAGGTCAGCTGGTGGTGGTTGTGGTACGGCATCCCGGGGCCAATCAGGCCGTGGACTTCCTCGGCCACGACGCGGAGCTCTGCTGGGGACTTGATTGTGTGTCTGATGTCCTCGGGCGAATTTTCTCGCAAAGCCGCCTCGATGTGAGAAACGTAGGCCTCAAGGATCCCAGCGCCGTTGGCCGGGTCTCGGCGGATTGTTCCGTCCAGCCCACTCAACCTGAGCTATGTCATCCCAATGGACCAGAACATCCTCGGAAACCTGACGCCCTTCATGTATTCGCCGATTTCTAATCGTTCCTCGAGATATTCCATACGGGCATCGTTAATCTCCTCATCTGCCCAGTCCTAGTCCAGTGGCAACTGCCCCGAGACATAATCCACGTATAATTCCATGTTCTTCTGAATCTGGGACGCGATGTGCTCGCGATAGGCGTCTAGCGCTTCAAACACCTTGGCTTGATTGAATTCCATAGTGAAGAATGAAGACGGTGAACTGAAGTGTGGCTGACGCGAGCCGAGCCGCAGGGATCGAGATGAGTTGATGCCGCGGAGTAGTTTGAGGCAGTTGCTAGGCCGTGGTGTGAAAGCGACCGCAACGCGTATTGCTCGTACATGCAACACCGTTCTAGGCTGCATCGGGTGGCGTCAAATGTTAGCTGCAGCTTAAATCAAGTCCACATGGAAACCGCCCAGAAACTTGCCCGTGTCAATATTGAATTTCATTTGTAAATCCAGCATTTCGCTGGCACTAGGTGTCAGAATCTTCCGAGAGTTTGCACTTTAACAGATAGCGTAGTAGAATTCAAAAGTACCATGACCCCTTTTTAAGTTATCTGTGTCATTATTCTTCTAGTCTTAGCAAGAGACTGGACTCTTTAAAAAATACTACAAACTTATTTTTCCATAATAAGCTCTATAAACCTCGAGATCGAATTCTATTTATAGCTTTACTTCGTATATCCTTTTCGCATTTCTTTTTATTTCTGAAAGCTTCAGATTTATAGGTAACTCAGAAACGGTAGATTTCAGAGCTGCTATTGTATTGCTTTACAAGAAGTAAATATTTCCTGTGAATGGGGATGTAGAACTGCACTTGAACTATACAATTCCGACATAAATGTCAAGGGACAACTTCAGATCTATGCTTAGCCGGATAACTCTCTTCTCGGTCGCCCCCTGTGTCCCTTCTGTCCCCGGGCTTCTTCTCTCCTCATCGTCCAGAGTCCCTGTCGTCCAGAGTCCCCGTCGTCCGGAGTCTCCGTCGTCCAGGGTTCTCCATTGCCTTAGTATCAAAGGCAATCCGGACAGAGAGCGTTGACGTACTCCAGGTGCTCGTTGGCGTACTCGACGTTGCTCTTGGCCGGCGAGCAGGCGCGCTTGAACAGATCTCTGGCAGAGCGGCGTCTGGTGCATGTCGCAAACTCGGACCACGGCGCCTCGCTCCACGCGGCGTGGTTGGGCGGGAACGCAGCCAGTTTGGGCTGAGAACCACCAGTGCCCATGTTTCCGTAGATATCAGAGCGGTAGAAGGGGTTCAGCTGCTCCTTGCCCTCGACGCCGTTCTTGACCTGCGTCCAGCCGATGATCTGGTTGTCCTTGATGCCGCCGAGGGCGGCGAACTCCTTCTCCTGGGGGTACGGGTTGTACTTGCCGAGGGTGGCCTGGCAGTCGATCATGTTGGGAGCGGAGTGGATGCGGTAGATGTAGCCGTTGTTGCCAAGGAACTGGCGGACCCAGGTGCGGGCGAGGTTCCTGTCAGAGGTGGTCGAGACGTAGCCGTCTTCGTCTTTGCTGAAGCCGTTGTCGGCGCCGTTGACGTGGTTCCAGAGACTGGTATCAGGTGACACGACGCCAATGTTGGACTGTCCCTTGGCTAGAAAGCCTTTGGAGGCCTGAATGGTTGAGAAGGCTCTGGAGTCTGCTCTGTAGAGGTCGACGGCAGAGCCGAGAATTGACCAGAGGGAGAAAAGGAACAACCCAAATACAAATGAGTACTGCCGAGCCATTTTAAATGGATAGCAATAGGGGACGACGAATGGATATCGACAGATATGGGGATAATGGAGACAATGATGAGATAACTGCCACAAGGCCAAAAGAGAGTGCTCTTAACGAGTGTAAGATTGTGATGACGAGGCTGGTCGACAACAAGACATGAATTGACGGGATAGTCGCCTAGGTTTTATCGTTTTATACATTCCCCATGCCATGCTGCTCTCTCACTCGAATTTCGGGTAGTAATCTGCTTCTCTCCCCAATAACACGCTTCTCTCACCGGAACTTTGGACTGCCAAAACCCCGCGCCCGAGATACCAGCTCAGGAGGTCTCACGTATCCATAACACCAAGTAAGTCAAGAGACATCGTCATCAAGTGCCAAACCACCGTCGGTTTCGTCGGAACTCGAAATCAAAGTTGATGTTAGTTAAATTGTTCGTGATTCATCCATATGCCTAGGCCAAATACGGACGGCGATGAAATTCAAACTGCTCCGTGAGACTGTGGATGTTGAACACTAGAGGCCCACAAGAAGTTCAGATCTCACGCGCGCATTTCTCATACAAAGGATATATCAATCCTCAATAGCCCAAGCCACAGATACCCGACAAGGATTCTGTGTGTTGTCCGGCTGAGAGCTCAACCGCCAAGTGGACGATTGTCTGATGAAGCTCTTGCGCAGTCTTGGCCGGGGCGGACAAAATGACGTTGAAAGTATCCTACCCGGTAAACCGGTGCCGGAGCGGATGTACGACTAACGACAACGCGAGAACGATTCACTTCGGTATCGCGTGTCTCTCCGCGGACTCGCAAGGTCTCCGGTTGTGTGGACGCAACTACGAGATGGAGACTGGAGTTCGACTAGTGTGTTGCCGCTTTAGGAAGTTCTCGTGATCTCGCAGTCGGTGAGGCAGATAATCACCAACGTTTTAGTGATTATGCCTTAGTCAAGACCCTTATGCCATAACCCACTAGGTATCCAGTGTATTAACCACAAAGGTATAGAAACATCTGACAATCTCTATCCGGGATGGGATGTGGTCCATAATATATTCTAATTGACTTTTAACTAGGAAGATGGCAGTACACATTTAAAGTTATATGCCATCCCGAAAGAGCCGAGCGGTGATCTGCGCCGGCTTCCACTGCACAGAGCCAGCCTTAAATGGGCAGAATTGTTGGTTTTATTGTTTCACATATACGGCTTAATAGCTGACCAATACCGGAAAACGTGGTAAAAAAGAGAGCACCCGTGCTCCATCATCGGGCTTATAAGCTCCAACCTCCGATAATAATAGATTGCAGCAACACCGCAAGCTTCTGCCCATCACAATTCAACCTCCACCCAGCTTGCAAGTTCCTAGCATACACAACACACAATGTTCCGAACTTTTCTCAATTCTATTTCCCCAGGCATGCAGACTCCGCCGGAATCCACAGTCGCCAATTCTGCCTCCCTCAACGAGTCAGGTCAGCGAGTGACCGGCTCGACGTGGGATGTCCACCCAATCAGCCACCCTGCAACCGCGCCGTGGCATCTCAACCTGTCGGAGTCAGACACCGACAAACTTATCAACGGATATCAGCCCGCGGCGATGGAAGATCGGTGGATGTGCCGTTCGGATGGGCCGGACGAACAAGGCAATATAGTGGTCCATGTGTACCGAAGTTGGACCGGCAACGAGCAGTTTCAGATGAAAGTGACTGCTTCCAGCCTCCGCGGGACCGCACTCCGCGGATCCGAAGCCAAGAATTCCGGTGAAAACGATGCGGAGATTACAGAGATCACATGGGACACCGGCAGTGGTGATACGCAAATGTCGGAGGAGGATGCGAAGAGCTTGGCGACGACGATTTGTAAAAGGGTACTGGGATGTGAGCTCGAGAATGCTTCTTAGCAGAGGAACAGAAGTAGATGTCATCTGATTGCTGTGGAGTTTTCAATATGAAACTTTGTCTAGTTCTCGGAGAGAATGTCACAATGCGTAGCCAGCTATTTAGTCATCGTGCGTCGTACATCGTACTGCAACCAAACCATAGACCGTTGGGAAGTGGCGCCAAGAAATCATGCACAACCTGACCCCCAAGTCACATCCCGTCGGATGTTACCTCTAAAATCCGCTTCCTTCAGCCTCAAATTGTGAGCGGGATACATCGGAGAGCGAGGCTCAGACCCATCAATAATGGATGAAAGTGAGAGTTCACTCAACTGCGGGTTGCTCTAGCTTAGTCTGTTCCACCTTCGGCTCCGTCCTCCGGAACTCGTATTGACAGTTGACCCCGAAAGCGAACTCAGTAACGAGGATCGTGATGATATCTTTGAGCTCGAAAGTAATCGCACTGGCTAGGTTTGGTCTATAAGTAGGTTTGACATCCGCATGACTACTTAGGCTATTACTCTCAGCATCAACTCATCTGCACTCGCTTCTTATCTATCACGTTCTGTTCAACATTCCAGACCCATAATTCTCAAGGTATTCTATAGGTCCAACGCCCATTCCTGTAAACTACTAACTGGGCACGCAGATGCAGCTCTCTACTCTCATCCCAGCTGTCGCCCTCGGCATTTCTGCCGTCAACGCCGAGTACTGCACACAAGCTCTCGACCCCTACCCCCGCAAGGCCAGCACTGGCTTCCGGTTTGAGAGCGTAGATGCAAACAACTGGAAGTGGACATCCAGAGACGTGCAGGTGGTCACCACGGTAAGCCCACAGGGCGGCAACTGCCAGATCCACCAGGGCGGCGGCGGCGGTGAATTTTCCGCCACTATCTGCATCGACGTACGTCCCCCATTGCCCGTGTCATGTTTGAGGTGATGCTGACCTGTTGTAACAGTTCAAGGGGAACTACGCCTGCTGGGTTGCACCGTCCAAGAACCAAGTGTGTGATATGGTCTTTGAGCAGGACGAAGCCCCTGTTGATGTCTGTGGAAACATCAAGAACATTTGGGGCTGGGTGGCTTAGGTGAGTGCCGTGACTTCTGGAAACTGACAACGTGATTGACAAATCAGTTTCCAGGCTATCAAATCTTTCCTTCTGCGCTGGTATATCATGGAATCTGGAGGACGATGGGTTGCTGGTAGAAACGGTTTGGAAAGTGTCTATTGGTGAGTTAGGTTACAAATGGAGTGGTGTTAGTCTTGTTGTCTACTTCTTATACATCTTCCAATCTTTTGCAGCAGCGATCTATCATCTATGTGGTGTGCTTTCAAGAAATGTTTGCACTGCCACCATTCGTAGGAGCAGAAATCCCAACGCCAATTCCGGTTTTGGAACTTACATAACAGTGTTTTAACATATGGATAGATACTTTCACAAGTTTCAATCTAACAGTTTCGGAAACAAAAAGGGACAAAAGATTAAGAACGATAGAGACAGTAGCTGCATAGCAATTGTAGAAACAATAGGAGCAACAGAAACGATAGGGACGATAGAGACGACAGAGATGACAAGGAAAATAGAGATCACAGAGACGAAAACAACGATAAGGACGACAGAGACAATGACAGGGGAATTAGAATAATAAGAATAGCAATTAGTGTGAGCAACTTTGACAAGGCCAACACGAACAATATAGCTCAAATTTGACCACGCTTTATCATTGTGTATTGTAACATAGAAAGACTGTGGACCGGAATATAATTAACTAACCTGAAGAACAGCAGGCAGTTGGGCTCTTTATAAAGCAATAAGATATAAGCTCCGAGATCCACAACTTCTGAGTTGGCTATACGTCTGAAGTTCCCAGAAATAAAGGACACGCGCGAGAAACACGAAGTAAAGCTCTAAGTGGCATTCGATCTCTAGGTTCACAGTGCTTATTATTGAGATAATGGCGTATCTCAAAGATTCCGGTCTCTTTCTGCCACATCTGTTCTTGACCTACTTGTTCCCTCTTCAGTGTCTTCTACCTTCGGCTCTGTGCGGTTCCGCATACGTCCCGAAGCCCCCCTTACGAACAGCATGACTCTCGCAGAACTCATTATTCAAGTCCGATCGACAACAGCCATCGTCTACAGCTCTTCCGATCGTCCCCAGTCAGCCTGAGCTCCTCCCTCCCCTTCCCCCTCAACCCTCTTCAACTCCACCCCAAAAGCGACAGGCACAACCTTCTCAACCCTCCCATCCTCCCCGGACACAAACTCGAAATGGTCAAGCGCCTTGTACCCGTACGTGATCCGGTCAACAGTGCCCCAGCTGAGGCAAGACGCATCGGCATGGAACGCCTCCCTATCAATCGCCTCCCGCTGCTCCGGCGTGAAATAGTCAAACACAGCCCTCCACGCCTCCGTCTTCCCATCTCCGGACTCCAGCCCCGTGGGATACGCCCTCGCCGTGACGTTCGGGTTCGGCTCCATCCCCGTCTTGTTCAGCCCCGTATGGCTGTACCGCCCCAAATTCGGCACAACCTCGAATCCCCTCACAACCCAGTCCTCCACGCGCACCCCCCACCCGCCATCAATCCTCAACGTCACCGCCGACCCGGTCTCCGCGTCCTCAAACCGGCCCGCCACGCGGCTCGCGGCCTCCTCCCGCGCCGCCTCGTCCAGAGCGCGCACGAGCCCCGGCAGCAGCGCCCACAGCTTCCACTTATAATACGCGGGCACGACCGCCGAGATCTCGGGCCCGGCCGCGAGCACGGAGACAGTGAGGCCGTACTCGGGCAGCAGCGCGAGGCCAGCGTGGTAGTTGAAGATGTCGCCGCTCTTGGCGTATACCTCGACCGGCCGCCCGCCTGTCAGGTTGGCTGAGAAGAGGCCCTCCCACGGCTTGCCGACGAACTCGGCCGGCGCGGACGTGAAGGTCGACGGCTTGAGCCAGCGGCGCGTCTTGGCTGGGGACAGCAGGCGGTGGCGGAGGATGGCGTCGCCGAAGCTGAGCATGTCGCGCGTCGTGGAGTACATCCCCCCGGCCCTGTTCCTCTGTAAGTCACACGATAATACTTCATGTTGACCAGTGTTGGGCAAAACTTACGGGCCAAAGACGCCCAGATTCCAGTCCCAGATCGTGTCGTTCTCAGGGATGAACAGCGTCGACAAGTCCTCAGGGGGATGGGGGTACGTTGTGGAGGACATGCCCGCGGGGTCGAGGATGAGTTCCTGGAGGACCTGGTCGAAGGGCTTCCCGGTGGCCGCCTCCACGACGAGCCCGACGATGGCTATACCGGTGTTGGAGTAGACGGGCGTTTGGTAGGCTGGGTAGACTGGTGGCCGGCGGTTCTTAAATACCTCGATAAAGTCTGGAGCATGATGAGCGTCTCGTGCCTCCTACCAGCACGACTGGAAATCCAACAACTCACCTTCCATAGCACAAGGCCGCTGTCCAAGAAACCCGCCACAGGCCGGCTTCTTCTCCAGCGGAGGCAGGCCGAGAGCCTCCCAGTCGCCCTCATACTGTCCCCGGTCCATCATCACTGCACCCCGTCAGCAAACTTTCCCTCTCCGACCCCCAGGACGTAACCACCACTCACTATCGGCCCCAATGCCAGAAACATGCACCGCAACAGCCTCGACCGTAACCTCATCCCACTCAACCTCCAACCCATCCAGCCCCCCCGCCTGGCCCTTCAGCGCCGGAAGAAACTTCGTAACCGGGTCATCCCACTTCACCACATCGTCCCTCTGCAGCGCCGCCAGCACCGTGAACACCTTACTCACGCTCGCGAGCCGGTAGACGGTGTCCTGGTCCACACCCTGTGCGCCGCGGGCATCGCGGCGCGGCGGGGTGTGGTGGAAGTCGAGCAGGGGCTCGTCCTCGAGGGCGGACTTGACGGCGATCGACACGGCCGAGGTTGCGAACCCCGCCGTTTCCTCTTCAAGAGACGCGCGGAAGGTCGCGAGGGCGCGTTGGACGGCTGGGTGGGCGGACGGGTTGCGCGCGGCGGGCAGGACGGGGCCGAGGGGCGGGCAGGTATAGGATGTTGCGGCTGCGAGGGGGATGAGGGCTGAGGGGAGGAGTAGGAGGCGCATGATGGGCTGTTAAATTATATGATTTCATATGTTTCTTGTCGTTGATTCAGTTTGAAGTGGTGTTGCAACGCCGAGACTAAAGAACCACTTGGCATCCTTCTCGATCAAGAACGAAAAGACATGCTTTAAACAACCGCAGAGCGTCACTTCTCATCATAATAAATGAGTCAACCATTCGCAATGCGTGCGAGTGCCCCAACCGCGATTCGGGTCATTCTTACATATCTCACCTTCCAATCCCAGCTTGGCGTCATCTGGCAAAAGATCCTAATCCGCGAATTCTCACCCCCCTGTTTTCACACAAATCACCCAACCCAGCGACCACAATCAAGGGCCAAGAAGAGAAAAGAAGCGCCATCTTTCTTCGGACTCACACTGCAACGTTGTTCATCCGCTCGTGCCAAACACCCCATCACTCTCGGGTCAGCAACGCGAATCGCTTGCGAGTCCTCCCCAGCAAACTTGCATCTGCAGGCCAGGAACTGATCCGGCGCGGCTTATGTAGTACCAAAGTACCTTATTGCTCGTCGATTATGCCATGCTCATTCGCAAGAAACACTCTCGATTGACAGAACCCCGCCCACTGCTGTGCGTCTTGCGTGCTTACGATGACGTCGGCTGACACGCCAACATCCATTCCAATGGTGCCAGTACCTTTCCTCTAAAGATTTTACATGGGCTCTCACAGTGGGTTGAGGAACAAAAGAAGGGGGAAAAGATTGTGCAGAAACATTGTAAAAGGGGGGTCACAGACACACGCAAAAAGGCATCAAATTGACGTGGGAATCGTTAAAATTCTCATCCGAGGAAAACAAAGGTGATCTCGCACCCCTATATCGCGAGAGATCCCTCTAGACAAAGAACAACATCGAAGAAACTCTGTTCCCCACAGCCGTGGCCTCAGAAGCTTCTAACTGCCTTCCTTTCCAAAGCGTCAGAACATGAGAAGAAAAAGGAGATAATAAAACCAGAAACAAGCTTTCTTGACTCTCTCTCAGCCACCCACACGCCCTCCTAAAACGCCTTGCGGTCCGCGCATCCTAATCCTTCATCGGCTCTCATGCTCACGTCCCGATATTGCGGGGGAAAATAAAAGCTAGTTGTAAAAACATGCAGAATAAGCACATGGCCCTTAGGCCCAAGAGGGCTCTAGATGGAGTTTGCCCCTGGCAACATCTATCCAACCCCGAAAATAGGAGCGCTGGGACCCCCAGCTTCCTCCTCGTCATTCCTCCCATCCCAAGATTTCCATCCATCTCATGTCAGACCTTACTTCTCCATATGTCCATCGTTGAGAAGCATCTCCAAGACAATCTGCACGCCATGTTGCTCAGGATGGCTCATGGAAATCTTGACCGTGCCCTTAGAGTCTTCTCCCGCCGGCGTTTGGCCGCCGAGCCAGTTGTTCTGCTGGTTGTTTGTCGCGTTGCCGCCCGTCGGGCCTCTAACACCGAAGTCGAGGCAGCGAACATCGCGGCCAGCAATAATCTGTCTGAGGCGACCGTTCTCGGCGTTGCGCACCTCTACGTAGTCTCCGTTGAAGAGGAGCAGGTACTGTCCGTACATTGTCGCACTCGTAGCCTTCTTCTGCTTGCCCGAGTACTCCATGATGAGAGTGCGGCTCACATCACCGTGCTTGTCAACATAGACCGCGCAGTCCTCATACGCCAACAGGAATTCCTGGTCGTTCAGCTTGAACATGCCGAGTGGCCTTTGGTCTCTAATTCTGCTGGCAATGTTGGCAATCGCTGGTTGCTTCAGGTCGGGGATCGACATCGTCTGTTTCTTGTCCAGAGTGAGCAACTCGAAGCCCTTGGCAGTTGACACCGCGATGTAGCTCTGGAAGAGGTTTAGAGAGTAGCACTCTGTCGGCAAGTAGAACTCATCATAGTCGCGGAACGAATCAGTACTGCCCTTGATGCCTCTGTGCCCACCAAACAGCCGCGATCTCTTTTCCGAGGCTTTCTGGAATACTGGCTCAAGCACCTTGAAGGT